CTGCTCAGATCTTCCTGAATTCATACTTTTTCAGCATTCACAATATTTCTGAGACTGTGTCATGAGTATTTCATTAACATGCTAGTGTTTTTTGTCCTTAGTCATTAGTGGAACAATGACAAAACACTGCTCCTAAACTGATATTTAAGGAACTGCCATAGTAACCTCCCCTTAGACCACCATTTCTGCTTTCAGCTGAGTTTACCATCATAATTAGATCTTTACCAAGCTCTTTGTTCATAGTGTCATCATAGAATCATAGAATGGTTTGGAAGGGACATTAAAAGTCATCTAGTTCACACCCCCCAGCCATGGGCAGGGACATCTTCCACTAGACCAAGTTGCTCAAAGCCTCATTCAACCTGTGGATAGGGCATCTGCAACTTCTCTGAGAAACTTGTTCCAGTGTCTTACCAAGTTCATAGTGAAGAATTTCTACCTAATATCTAATCTAAACCTACTTCCTTTCATTCTGAAGCCATTACCCCTTGTCCTAACACTGCATGCCCTGTCACACGTACCTCTCTTGCTTCCTTGTGGCTCCCTTTAGGTACTTGAAGGTGGTCTAGGGTCTCCTGGGAGCCTTCTTCATATTAGAGCTGTGATCATCTTTGTGCACTCCTCTGGATTCGCTCTAACCATCTTTCTTGTGCAGAGTGTCCCAGAGTTGGATGTATCACTCCAGGTGGGGTCTCACATGGGCAGAGTTGAGAGGAGAATCACCTCCCTTGACCTGCTAGTCACACTTTTTTGGATATAGGAGTTGATTGGTTGGTCTTCTGGGCTGCAAGCACACTATTGGCTCATGTCCAGCTTTATGGCCATCAACATCCAGAATTCCTTCTCTCCAAGGCTACTTTCAATCCATTCTCCACCCAGCTTGTATTTGAACTTGAGGTTGCCCTGACCCAGGTGGAGCAGCTTGCACTTGGGCTGGTTGAACCCCATTATGTTCTCATGTGCCCACTTCTCAAGCTTGTCCAGGTCCTCCCTCGATGGTGTCCCTTCCTTCTGTTGTATCAACTGCACCACTTCGTTCATGTTGTATCTCCTGTTTAGTTCAGTTCATACATCTAGTTGTGGTCACGTGGCAACTCGTCTACTGAAAATTTCTCTCTGCTAAGTTTCACGTGCAAGCAGTTTCTATCAGGATCCAAAAATACAGTCCAAATTGCCTTCTGCTGAACAAATCCTGGTTTTGAAGAATTTTATCTTATTTCGGTAATGCATGGTTCCAGCGGTTGTTAGTTATCTATCAGTTGTTAAATATTTGCAGAAGCAAATGTGCTGGTATAGCATCTAGCTCAAATTTCTTTATCAGTGTAATAGCTAATGACTTTGGAAAGCACAGTGCTTTTTTCTGAAGGACCTGTGGCAGCAATGACACCAGCTCCTACATGACCAGCAGGTGTTCGGAGGGGTTGTCTATATTGCCACCCTGTGGATTTGAACAAGCAAGTTGGAGCTGCTCTTTCATAGTCACAGTCACTCGTTTATTCAGCAGAGCCCCTTCCTGTGCTCTGAGGTAAATTTCTCATTCAAGTAATGCCAAGCTTGAATTTGGCACAAGGTTTGTTGTGGCTAATAAACCTCCATGAAATCCACCCTCTCACAATATAGGCCACTAAACAAGACATGTATTGCGAACTGCTAATTGTAAATGCAGGAGAAAATGGATCTTGAACTTATATTGGATTACTTGAAACATTTCTAATGACACATTTGTCTTTTTGTCTACTACCCTCATATTTTTAATGTACCATTTCTTCAAAAGTTAAAAAGAGCTATACAAAAAAAGTGAGCTAATTTGTTTGTAAATAACACACAGTTTTACAAAGACTTGAGTAAGAAGGAAATATCCCCTTTACAAAAGTCCTATATTTTACTGGAACATATACATACAGGCATAGTGGAAGAACATGGGCATATTGCTTTTCTTAGAAGAACATGTCTTTCATCTAGCAGGATGATGACAATGCTATGAAAGAGTATGAAAGGGGTGGCAATAAAGAAAACAAACGGCTGAAGAAGGTTATTGGGGCTATAAATTGAGGCAACAAGAAGAACAGAGGCACTCACTTCCTTTTCTGGGACCAGTTGTGGGAATGGTGTGGTACCACCTGGGCTGAGGAACTCGTGGCAATGGGCAACCCTCAGAATGCCTATGGTGGTCTGGCTCCACAGGGACTGTTTCCAGCTGTGAGACAATCTGTCTTCCCCTGCAGTGCCTGACACATTTTACCAAACTGGCCACCTGGCAGCTGTTCCTGCTCTGACCTTGTGGGGGTCTCTCTCTGTGCCATCACAGGCACTCCCGGCCCAGCACAGCTTACTTCCAGACCATCAGGAAGCCATCCCCATATAAAGAAGGACTGAAAGGATGTGGGAGGTGGGAGTCAGCCTCTTCTCCCAGTAACAAGTGACCAGAGGAAATGGACTCAAGTTGTGCCAAGGGAGGTTTAGAATTGGATACTAGGGAAAATTCTTCCTGGAAAGGGTGGCCAGGCTTTGAAACAGGCTTCCCAGGGAAGTGGTTGAATCACCAGCCTTGGAAGTGTTCAAAAGGTGCGTGGATGTGGCACCTGGGGGCATAGTTTAATGGTGAACATGGTGGTGGTGGGTTAACAATTGGACTTGACAATCTTAGAGGTCTTTTCCAATCTTATTTGCTCCATGATTCCGTGATTCCTAAGGAGAGCTTCTCCTTTCCTGAGTGGAGTTGGCCGACTGAAGGACCTGGCTGAAGCTTGTCTGGAGCGCTTCACACTCCGCGCCTCCACCACAGAAGGAGCCCCAGCTGCCTCTGAGGACATGCGTTGTGTTGAGTGTGCCAGGGCCCCCATGGGCACTGACAGGGCCCAGCCAAGCTACACTGAGGACTGGCCAGGAACTATGATAGCAGCTGGAGTTGGTGTGGAAACTCTTACATGTGCAGGTTGTTATGCTTTCCTCCTTTGGAAACCGCTGAAGTTATGCTCCTGTGAGGACCAGGGAGTTGAAACTAATGATCCTTCTGGGTCCCTTCCAACTTGAGATATTCTATGATTCTTCTGCCCTCCATCATGGGCTGGAAGAAACTGCAGAGGGGGAACTTCTTTTGGCTGGATCCTGTGAAGGAGGGGACAAAGAGAAACAAGCATGACAGAGCAGGGACCTCTCCTTTAAAAAAACCAAATCCCTTCCTATAAAGCCATTGAGAAAAGCAGAGAGCACCAGCAATATATGTAGTTTGCATCCAGTCATAGTTTCAGGCATGAAATACAGTACAGTCCTTTCCTTGTGATTCCATCCTCCGTGATATGACATAGGACAAATCTGTAATTCTCCAGATATTTTTATCTGGACTAACTATATAGCCTGCTATCAGGATTAACTACATTACTCTATGACCCCTTTTAGTACTGTAGCAGATACTGATGTGAAACCTCTTACTGTAGTGACTCTAAAGCACTGTCTTACCAGCATTAATCATATTTTCTTTCCAGTCAGTCTCTGCTTTATAGTCAAAGCATCATATACAGTAATGCAATTACTCCTGCTTGTGTGATAAGCCTAAACCAGGAAAAGATGGAAATATAAAGATGGTGGTAACTATACAGCCAAATGCCTAAGGCACAGGATTCTCATTTGGAAGTGTAAATTGGTAAAGATGTAGTAAAAGTGAAAAAGAAGAAGAAAATTCAAAGGTTAAATTAAATAGCCTCTCTAACAGCCCATCCCTGGTTGGACCATCCTTTAAAATACGTGGAGAAAACACAAAATCCTTATACAAGTTGCCCATGGGTCACATCCTTGAACAGCTGTGCAAAGAGGGAGCACTGAAACCCAGGCTTGGGAGGAGACTCAAATCACCAGCCTAATGGACACTGATGATCATATTAGAAGGGGAAAGATGCAGGCAAAATATTTCAGAGTCGCTTAGTTTTAAGGGTAATAATCAATGGCAGGTGGTCATGCAGTTTACTTTGCCAATAAATGATCTGTAGATCTTTAACTTGATCTAAGTTTTATGCTCTGTTGTTCTCAAACTCTACGTGATAAGTAACCAAAAGGCACTCTTCATCTGGCATGATTTGATATCCTATGTTTGTGCTTCAAGGCTGCTGCCATCAGCCCACAGCAGTTCAAGGAGGGATACCTTGAAGGCTTTGGAGACATCCAATAAACTGTGGAAGCTAAATCTCTTCCTAAAAAATTGTAAACTTCTCCAGTTTCGAGAGAAGTCTTTTGGTGCTATCAACTATCACTGCAGAGGAGAAATAAGACAGCACTGAGCTGTCATTGGAAATTTGTCTCAGGCTATTGGGAACACAACAGAGGTGGGACTTCCACAAGCATCCCATTCTGGAGTGATTGTATGATGTCAAGGAGTTTCCTTCAGCAATCTGACATACCTAGAAATTCATGTTTATTGTGGAAGTAGCAGAGCCACAGAAATATTTAAGGAAACAAGCTGTGAACAGCGTATCTAGCGTAGTTCATCCAGAACTGAGCTAACACTTATGTCCATGTGGCCTTTTTCTCCTTTTTATCTCCCAGAAAGAGGCACAATCCTTATATTTCTCTGTACTGGTAGTTTCCATAATACTTACTTCAATGTTATATATAAATATTTCAGTAAAGTAATATCAGCTCCAGCAGCATCATGCTGCTTTTTTTGGTTCTTCTTGTTGACAGCAGGGAGGGAGATGTTCTGTCCTTAATATTTCACTGCATACAGTCAAAAGATCACCAAAATATTGCTTTCATCTTTGAAGAATATATTTCATCTTAGGAATAGCTTTGGGGGAAAATACAGGTAAGGGGCATAGGTGTAGAAATACTTCTGCGGATAGCACCAAATCATCTGATCTCATGATCAGAGGGCTGGAGTACCTCTCCTACAAAGACAGGATGAGAGAGATGGGGTTGTTCAGTCTAGAGAAGAAAATACTCAGGAGAGACCTTATTTCAGGACTTCAAAGAGGCTTATATGAACACAGGGACAAATTTTTAGCACGGCCTGTTGTGACAGGACAAGGGGTAATGGTTTTAAACTAAAAGAGGGTTGATTTAGACTAGATATAAGGAAGAATTTTTTTACCCCACTAGGGTGGTGAAAAACTGGAACAGGTTGCCCAAAGAGGTGGTAGATGCTCCATCCCTGGAAATACTCAAGATCAGGTTGGACAGGGCTCTGAGCAACCTGATCTAGTTGAAGATGTCCCTGCTCATTGCAGATGGGTTGGAATAGATGAGCTTTAAAAGTCCCTTTCAACCCAAACCATTCTATGACTTTATGATGCCCAGAAACCCCCTAAATTTCTTAGCCAGTTAAGTGCTATTGCTTGGATCTGTCTCACCAAACATCTCCTCTCTAGCAGGCAGCAGAACATGTTAACAGCTATAGGTTGTTGCTTGCTACTTTAATTAAGCAATGAACAGTGTTCTTTAATCAAGTTTGTTACTATTTTCCTTTCCAGTGCTGTAATATTCAATGAAATGCTAACCAGGTGCCAAACTACATCCAACTGTTGCATACCACCTTTGCACGGAGATCTACTCTAGTACCCTCTTTGGCGGAGGAAAGTTCATTCTGTCTTGGTCACTGAACACCGTGGTTTTCCTCCTCTTTCTTGTTATTATGCTTCAGTGGTGTTTGGGCCAGAGGGGTCTGACTGTGTAGCATTGGAGATGTGCTCCAGAATTGCTCATGGGAGCAGAAGGTGCTGTTGAGGCTGCCGGCTCGAAGACCCATTAGCCACAAGGGGGAGGCAGCAACCAGTGATACGAAGCACCAACCTCCGTACTTGAGGATTTCATTGTGATTGTGTAAGTCAAGTTTAGAGAAATATAAACCACTCAGAATAGAGTGAAGAGGCATTTTTTTCAGCAGCTGGACAGCTCGGGCTGGTATCAGCACAGAGGGCTGTTGGGGTGCATGACTGTGAATGGCCACCACTACAGGTGTCACAATCCCTCAGCTCTCTTCAAACTCTTCTAATCCGCAGACTCCTTGTTTCCAGAGGCACCATTTACTTTCAGTTGTTTCGTGGTTGCCCTGAGTATCATACACAACAACTAGCATTTTCAGGGCTATTTTACCAGTAATGTTTCATCTTTTGACTTTCTCCAATGGCTAACCATAATCTTTCTGTAATTAGTCTTTTTGCACAACTCCTTCCACAGTAATGTCTCACATGATGGTACCTTGAGGATAGCGATATATGCTATTACTGTGCTTGTCCACTTGGAATAAAGCTTGCCACACAGGTGACTTGTCAGCCACCACCTTTAGTGCTGTTACCCAGTATTCTATCACATGTGCAGGCTGGGAGGTGAGATCATTTTTTAACAGCCCTTCTGATGTTAAAGTCCAGGTTGTCCCCTTAACATCTGCATGGTTCACCACATTTGTAATTCTTGATACCTGGTACGTTTTCACAGTTGTCAGCACTCTGTAAAGGTTTTGACAGAGCTTTTCTGATGTTAGAAAACTAAGAAGCAAGTTTCAATATTCAGGTTTAGATGTCTCTATCCAGAGGTATATTTTCAACCCAGGGTATTTTTCAGAGTCTCCTGGAGCAATTGTGTTTGATTTATATTGAACATTTGCCAGTGGCTGCAGTCACTAATTGTATAAGAGTCATGGATGGGGTTGATGAAAAAGTCATGATATTTATTTCTCCTGGGTTTTTAGGTCAGTGCAAATACAAGAAGGTTGCTGTGAGGGAGACAGTGTTTTGCATTCTCTCCCATGTGTTGCTTGGCAAAACCAAGTCATCAACAAAGGCCAAGGAGGTAATCTGGTTTTACTCTGGAGGAATCCATAGCCATGTTTTTCTAGGCTGCAGAATAATGGATTGATTTGGTGACATTGGATCCCCTTGTTTGACAGTGGCCTTGATGGTAATTGGCTTAGCATGATCCTTTGGCATGGTAGTGACACTTACAGATCAAGTTTCATCTGACCACATGTTCAGAAAGTTCTCTTTACTTCAGGACCAAAAGATATGCTCATGGGTCACTGAGTAGGAGGCCTTGGCCATTTCTGTGAATACTCCCCACAAGGCTTATGGTTTTTTGGTAGCATATTGAATGATAACTTGGAGTGACTGTACGCTCTCAGAGAACCCAGGTTCAGATATAAGGCCTCTGTTACCCACTGACCCTTAATAGGCTGAGCTTTTGTTACCCTGGTTGTCAAAATCCATGTAAAAAGTATTAAGATGCTTGATCAGTATCAATATTGTTCTGTGTTCTTTGATACTACCCAGTACACATGTAAAGTCAAAGTTCTGCTAATACCAGTCCTTAGGGGGTCTGTCTGTACAAGGCCTTTTAAACTTACTTGGTCTAGGTCAGGTGCTGCGGTTTTACTTTTCTTTGATCTTATTCAAAATGTTTGTAGGTGTTATCAGCTTAAAAGGTCAATTTGTCCACTTTCCAAGATTTTGAAACTCCTCCCCTGTTGAGAAATGGTTTCTCACTCTTACACTTAAACCTTACTGACTGAACATACTGCTGTGCACATTCACAGAGAGAACATCTACTGTTTTTAACGAGACACTTTGCATAGGGTAATGCTCACAGGGGGAATTGGATCTTTTGACCAAGACAACAATTGCTGATGTTGCAAACATTCATCAATGGTGTCTTCGGCTAGATGGGCTGAGACTCCCCAGACTGCTCTGGTGAATTCTGTGTGATCATTACAGCATATGCATGATCAGTTCTTGTTGATTATCTTAAGGTATGTAAGGTATGTAAGAAACACAGTTATGAATAAAAGTTAGCCTTACATGCCTATCTTTTCATAAGCACGAACGATTTGCACTGGCTATATAAAATTATGCATGCTTTGGTCAATTCCTGAATTGACAACAGGAGCTGCTTGGGGAAATCCCTGGCTGTGTGCTGGATCTTTCAACCCAAGTCATTAAGCAATATATCTTAACAGACAGATTCCATCCATCAGCTTACAGAGCAGAGTTCCTGCCTATCAGCAGGAGCTCCCTGGGGAAAACCCTGCATGTCCCCAGCTGCTGGGAAAGAACCTGCAGCAATCAGTTGATTGCTTTGTTGTGAAGTGGCCATTGATTTCCCCATTGCCAAACTATACTGAATTCCAGTGAGTTACTTCTTAGCAGATCCATCTGTTGTCTAAGCTATGCAGTGATTAGCTGGAAAGCTCCTGGATCAGGCAGTCAGTTAATGACCAAGTGCCCTTTGCATGCAGACCAGCAAAGCCTTCATATCCAGCTGCACCAAAACTGCAAACATAAACTTGACTTTCATCCCTGTATCACAGCAATAACTCAAATTCCTTTGATTTTACCACAATACCTGAACTGCTGACCAGTTTCTGCCTTGTATCACTCACTGTTTTCTCCATACACAAGTGCTCAAAAGTATGCTCTATAGAGCCAGGAGGTGGCAAAGGATCGTGTCAAATACAAATACATTGAGGATCTTATGTGATGGGAACAAGGATTTACAGTGTCTGAACACTGCCCTAGAGCAGCTAGGTTTTAGTTTTTCATAGGGAGAACGAAGAGGAGGGAAATAAAAAGAGCTGACATGCAGAATGAGACCATCTGAGGGATTCTGGAGGAAGGCAGAATATTCTACACCACATTCTATCTGTAAGGATGAACCCAGTCTTTCAGAGGGGCGATCATCTTTAAACCCACATTTTTAGTTAATGCTGTTGCACTTATCTGTGTGATGATAGTGTTCTTTCCTAAGAAACACATTCTCTTCTCAGCCCCAAGACCAATACTTTTTACATGCCAATTAAAAAAATGTATAATTTGTCAAACCTAAAATGGTGTAATTAGCTTGGAAAGTTGCAATAGAGTAGTAAATTCCATTCCTCCCACCCACCTTGTCCAAGCTGAAAAACAGTGCAGAAAACATAAGGGTTTTTATTAATTGTTACTGTTTGTTTAACAAGTGAGCAACAATTTTCATAACAAAAAAAAATTCATTACATATTTTGAAATTATTCTTGCATACTATATATTTATGGGCAGTTCCAAACAATTAACCAATCCAGAATAACAGTGCTGAGCAAGATAAAACTTAAATTAGCATTTTCAACATAAAAAGCTACAAAGTGTGAATGTTTCAAAAATACATCACACACACACAAACATGGGTTTGGGTAGAAACTAACAGGACCATTGCTTCTTAACCAGTTACACACTTTTAAAAAGCCTCCTGAAGTAACTCTTCAGTCTTTATACAGTGATCTTCAAAGTCCATGAACAATAGTTCAGTGATTAGTTGAACGAATAACTGACACTTCTAAAAAAGAGAAAGTGAGTAACACTTACTCTATTGCATCCAACCCCGTACAATTGAGTGTATGATGCTTCAACATATATATTTATACTGAAAAAACAATATTTTACCCTCTTGATTACAATTTTAAACATTTTCAGTGATACCAGTGACAAACTACAAAAAAGTGGAAAAGCGTAAAATCTTTGCTCTTTTAATACTAAGAGGTACAAATTCAAGGCATGAATCTCAAATACATTGGCATCGATTCCCTGTCTGACATTTGTCAGCTGAGTGGCTGAACTGCCTGCAACGATGTGTGAAACGCGCCATAGCTGGATGGTCACTTTCCACATTCAGAAGGAATTACACATGGGGTAAGTTATTCAAACTGATTTGTTCTACTCGGCAATTAAGGTGTGTGCATAAGGCCAGGGGCACCAGCTTGGCTCAGGCAGTCACACGTGAGTAGTAACTCAATTGTGTTCTCATCTCTCAACCCACACACACTTCGCATCCAGACAAACTGTGGCCTTTCTGGTGTTTGTGATGATCTCTTTTTTTTCCTCCAAGTTTGTTTTGTCTACTACAACTTTATTAAAAGAAATTAGTACATAAAATACTAACAGATCAACACAACAGTATAATTAGTACCAACACTGTGAGCAAAATCACAACTGCAAAACCGAGTAGTTGGGGAGCGTCTTTTTTGTTAAGGAATCTCGTTTCATGTTAGGTATTTTTACCGAGTAACTGGATTAGCTTGCACACACTATTTCAAAAGATTTATCTGCTGTCTTCTGTGCCCAGACTGAAATGAAACCAGGAGAAAACAGTAAGAGAAAAAAACCCACATCTATAAGAGTTCTGTTAAACTTGGATGGGCATTCACACAGCTGGATTGCTTCCAAGACATGGTTCTAGATGATTGCCTAGAGCAAACCTGTTTACCAAGTCTAGCCCTCAGGAAATAATGAACTGCTAATTAAAGAGCTGACAACCTACCAACACTAATCAAAGTCAAGTAACAGAGAAGACCGGATATTATATACAGAAGGGTAAACATTGCCCCTCTGAGGTCTAAGGCTGGATTAAAAAGGAGGAAGAAAAAAGTTATCCAACATACATGGCACTGTTGAAAAAAAAATTGGTTCCTACTGCTAAAAGGAGCCAAAGTATATTCAAAGTTTCAAGAGATTTCAGGCAATGGGGTTTTTACTTGTTGATGCTGTTTTTTTAAATCTAGAGGTGATTATTTTCCTATATTATTTTGCTTTATCTATAATTTTATTTTTACGGTGTCTATTTTGTTTTTACTAATAAAATTAAAAAGTCTCCCCTCTTAAAAGTTGGTAAAGCTTGTCTATCTGTAGGCTTTCGTGGTCAGCTGTACACGAAGTGATGAACCGTAAGGTCAGAATTTAAGGGCTATGGGGAAGTGAAATTCAGTTCTGGGATAACGGAGACAGTCGGAGAGGGAGATTGTGGCTACCAGTGCAGGCTATTTTTAAGTTTCTATCTGCATATAACAAACAGGGCCTGTCCAAGGAACAAAGCCAGGTGCAACAGCTGTAATTCAAGGAGGTTCCTGCAAGCTAACCAGGTAGCAGCCACTGCCCTGAGAGGCAGAAGCAGCAGCATGGTGACATCATTCCTCATGGAGGCACATTGTTGGGTTACAACTAAAACTCTGACTGAGAAAAAAAATACAAGTATTCTTAACTTATCTTGAATATGATGAGAATGTAACTTCCAAGTTTATGCACTCTAGTACTCAGGAATGGATCCCAAGGCCCAAGGAGACTTACATCAGTCTGTTTCTTCATGTGTTATTTTAATTAGCATCTTCTACGTGTTTCATTCGTAAAGTACTATTTGTATATCAAGCTGGAAGACACTGCAAGACTGATGAATTTGAAACAGGATCATGCTATTCCCCCCCTCAGAATACTAATACATACATTTATACGCACACACATTCACACATGCACGTACTTCTATGAATGTACGTACAGACACGCAGGATTTGTATCAAGGAGCTTACTCAAACATTGTCCCTTCCAAACATCTGCCTCAAAATCAGTCTTGCTTAAACAAACTTTGAAAAATGGTAATAATGATGATAATAAGAAGATAGTCTTAAGATACCTCGTAAAATGTCAGGGATAAAGAGCACAATGTGCTACCGCACTTGGGGGAGACAAACCACACTTCTCTGTTGATGGAGTGTGACCATCAATCAGGTAAATCCCTCTAAACTGAGTTCTATTTCGCTGCTTCTGATACCTGTGGAAGCTGGCCTATCTCTACACTACACTGCAGTCTGCAATACAAACACAATCACAGAGTTTAAGAGCATGCACAGCTCGCCGGAGCGTCTGCTGTTAGTGAAAGGAAAGGCACCAGCACCGCACATCCCATGCAAATACAAGCGCAGTGAGGAGGGGAGATGGCAACACAGTAGAAGAGTTGTTTAACAGCTTCGGACTACAACCGCGATTGTCCCTACTTATGCACGGTGGATCACGCAGGATCCCATTACTTCCCCTACTTAGCGTTTTCCTAACATGGCCTTTTCTACCCTCTTGAACTTCTGCAGTTCAACAGCTAGTTCCCAGTTTCTCAGATACAGCCACATAAGCTTTCCATTTTGACTCTTGTTTCTGTTCAGCATATTGCCACAGTAGTTATCGTATTTGAAAATATCTTTTAAGCCACTTTCCACATGTAAAGCCAGAGCAACAGGATCAGTTGCTGCTTTAACTAGCAGATTTTTCTCTATTTCTAGTCTCTGACTTCTGGGTACAACAAGACTGCAGTAGATGTCCTGCCTTTCTTTAAGTCCCTCTTCAAATTCTTTCAGTAAAATACTGGCTCTCTTTTGCCACTCTTCTTCCTTTGCCAGGCAACTCTGGTACAAGGTACCTTCTGCTCCTGAGTGCAAGAGGACTTGTTTTTCTCGCTCCAACTTCTCCTGCTCCTGTTCTAGGAACCTCCTTTCTTCTACTAGTTTGCGGCTCTGGGACACGAGGGCTTCACGGTAACTCAGGGTTCTGTTGCGTTCCTTTTCCAGCTCCACCTCCAAGTGAGCAAGAGCGCGACGGTTCTCCGTGATTATATCCCGGTATTTGCCTTCCAGGTCTTTTTGTAAAGATGAGTGCTTTTTATGGTACTCTTGTTTTTCTCTTTCTATTTCTTTTTGACATTCTCTGGTCCAGATCCAACCTACCATATATAAATGAGACTTCAGACACGAGTATAACATAAAACAACAATGAGTGTGATTAACTAGCTATGCCTCCAGGGAAGCTACTAAGTGGTAAGTAACTCTCTCTCCTGCCCTCCCCAGTGATACTTACTTCTATTTACAAGTCCCCACAAAGTGTACTTCTGTGGTCCCTCTTTCACAGTAAGTCACTTTAAGTGATCTTGTTTTCCCCGAAGTAAAATATTCCCTATTCTTTTATTGCTAACACTTGCACTACTTGGATTAAAGAAGGAAAAAAAAAGTCATGCAGAAACAAACTGGAGGTTTCCAATTCAGGTACCACACTGAGAACTTTTCAGGTCCAGTATAAAAATATGCATCAGCATCTTCCTGGGTTGCTACCCTGGGGCTCTCCAGCACATCCTGTGTCCACTCCTCCGAGAGAACTTTATAAATTATTTATAAACCTTATTAAACATAGATTCCATTCCACCTAGGAGAAATGGCCACTGCCTTAGCGTTACGAGCAGTGCTGGTTGTTTACAAACAAGAAGACCTGAGGAAATCCACAAATAGGGCACGGCTTTATCCCTGGGCTGCTGCAGAGACCCGCCCGGGGCTGGGGGCGAGACCCCGGTCGGCGCTACTTACGGAAGGCGGCCAAGCCCAGCATGGGGACCAGCAGGGCGTAGTTCCATCTGCTCCCGTCATCACCGGGATCGCGCCGATTGGGCTGGATGTTCCAGTGGGGAGGGTCGTTTAAGTTATTCATGAAGGCACCTGAGGCGTAGAAAGGGGAGACACGGCCTCAGCAGCGGAGGGGTCGCTCCCACCGCCACCATTCCCTCCCGCTGCGGGGCTGGGAAAGCTGCCCGAGCCCCTCGGACGGCGGCCACGACACTTAGGAGCTTGGCCGAGCTCCGAGCGGCCAACCCGGCCCGGCCCGCCCCGCGGAGGCATCCCAGGCCCGTCCCCATATCCATATCGTATCCCTATCCCCATTCCCAACCCTATCCCCCTCCAGCGCGACCCCCACGCACGAGCCCGGGAGCGCGCGGGCCCCCGGCGTTGCCACTCACCTGCCCCCTCCCGGGCCGGCCCATCAGCCGAGACAAAGCGGGGGGAGCCGAGGAGGGTGACATAACAGACGGACGCTACCCGCTGTCCGTCCCCGCCCCAAAGGGGCTCTTTTTATTCGATTAACACCGGCAGGGGAACACAGATGGTAGTGGCATCTAAACCCTACGAATTAACTGAATCTACCTTTTTTTGTTTGTTTGTTTGTTTGTTTGTTTTTTGTTTCATAGAGAAAATGCTTTACAGTTTTTTCCTCACCCTTTTGCCCAAACCTTGTGTTTACAAAGCGATCTTTCCCACAGCTTTAAAAAAAAAGATCATTGTGGCCTGTTCGTTAGGCAACACTATGTCAGGCACTGTCAAAGATAGGAGAGTCCGAATCCTACAGTGCTGGAGAACTACATTTTTTCAGTATTTCACCAAGGAGAAATAATGGCAGTAACACAATTCTAGGTTCGTGGTTTTTGTTTCGTTTTGGGGTTTGTGTTTTGTTTTGTTTTTTAAATTCTGCTGAAAGCAGGAGCTGTTTAGGAACCTTTCCTCACGGAAGAGACACACCCGCAAGCAGGTTTTAGCAAAGCAAACACTCAGCTGTCGGGTCGGATTCCTCAGGCAGCACCGAGCCCGTGACTTCGCCCCCCCGCCCCGCCGGCACGGTTGGTGTGTCCCGCCGAGCCCCGCGCATGCGCCCTGCCCGCTCGCTCTTGCCGTGGCCTCGGTGCGAGATGGCGGCGGCGGCGGCGGCGCGGGGGCTGGCGAAGCGCTGGCTGCGCCCGGCGGCGACTTCGCGGGCGGTGAGTGCTTCTGCTTATCTGTGCCCCCTGCCCGTGCCGCTGCCCAGCTCTGGCCCTGTCCTCCCGCCGCCGTCGGCGGCCCGATCCCGCTGTCTCCCCCGTGACCTTCACCCGTCCGGTGCCCCCGGCTCCCCCCGCCCTTCGCCAGGCTCGGTCTTTCCGGTGCCTGTTTTGAAGCGGCGCCGATCTTGCTGCTCGTGTCCTGGAGGCAGGCTCCTCCTGGAGGGAATACCAGGGAGTTAGGTGGCTGTGGGCATGGCCGGGCCGCGCCTCCCGAGCGCCGTAGCCTGAGGCCATGAGCGCAGTCCTGAGGGAATGAGGGAGGCTTCGGGAAAGGGATGTGCCGGGGACGGGCCCTGGAGGGGCCTGGCAAGTGCAGCCCCAGCACCGGGGTAAAAAGGTCGCCGCAGGCTCCTTCTGTATCAGGAACAGTGTGGCCGGCAGGAGCAGGGAAGTGATTCTTCTCTTGTGCTCAGCGCTGGTGAGGCCACAGCTGGAGTGCTGTGTCCAGTTCTGGGCCCCTCAGTTCAGGTGTATGATCCCTCATATTGAGGTGCTGGAGTAGGTCCAGAGAAGGGCAACGAAGTTGGTGAAGGGCCTGGAGCTCAAGTCTGGTGAGGATTGGCTGAGGGAGCTGGCTGTTTAGCCTGGAGAAAAGGAAACTCAGGAGTGACGTTATCACTCTCTACAACCACCTGTAAGGAGATTGTGGCCAGGTGGGGCTTGGCCTCTTCTCCCAGGTAACCAGCGATAGGATGAGAGGGCGTACTGCACCAGATGAGGTTTAGGTTGGGCATTAGGAAGAATTTCTTCTCGGAAAGGGTGGTCAAACATTGGATTGGGCTGCCCAGGGAGGTGGTAGAGTCACCCCCCCGGGAGGTGTTTAAGAAAAGACTGGATGTGGCACTTGGTGTTATGGTCTTGTTCACTGTGATGGTCCAGTTCAGTCGTAGGTTGGACTTGATGGTCTTAGAAGTCTTTTCCAACCTAACAGATTCTGTGATTCTGGACCTGCATAGGAAGCCAGCGTATCAAGCATGTGGCTTGAAACTGGTTGGTGATTATGCCGGAAAGGGCTGCTGAGGCATCTGGTAGGTTTGTGCTAGCTGGGCTGTAAGCTGCAAATCCTGAAGGAAGGCTTTTTTTTCTCCATGGTGAAGTGGGAGTTTACAGTTTCTTTGCTCTATTCTCACTCTGTATCCATAATGAACTTGGGGTTACAAAAGGTAAGTGTGTGGGAAAAGGACCCTGTAAACACAACTGTTTGAACCTTTGATTTCATAAGGGCCACAATCTTCCCAGTATCATAACAGTTTAGGATTACTGTGATCAATGTTTCCTTCAGGTTTATTCCAACATCTTTTTCTGCTTTGTGGACTCTTGTTCAGACTCATTCTAACAAAACTCAGTGGCAAGAGAAATTCTTATGTATAATTCTAACAAAACAAGTGTATGTGGATGGGAATAGCAGTTCTGAAAATGTTTTGCAGAAGCTTAGATGGGAAAAGAAAAGCAATCTGCTAGAAAGTTGCATATTTTGTGGGGTTTTTTAATAATATAGTTCCAGAGTCCACTGATGCAAAATGTATTTGATAACTGTTGGTAGTGACTTCAGGAAATAATAAAGGTTTTTAGAAAGTAAATCAATTGCAAGGTATTGTGCCAGAATTCTGACTGGAGATTGCAGTAGGCTGTTTAGTCTGAGGGGAGGAAAAAAAAGGTTCAATTTCTTTTGAGGCTTTAGAGCATAACCTGTTATATTTTTTTCCCTTCAGTCATTTACGCTTTCTGTAAACAATACCAAGTATGTGCAGACCTCTTTTTGTGTGCTGTCTTCACATACAGTTAAGATTTTCTTTGAATCACTTAGTCCAATAACCGAATATATTGTTGTGCACATGCAAGAAATAATTTATTGCAGTAAAAAGAGCTGTACTGTTGCTGGAATAATGTTTTGGGAACGGGCAGTAGTGTCTGCTACAGAATGCGTGGCTGCTGCATTTCAGATGTGTGGTGTAGAGTTCTGTGAGTCTCACAGGGTGCACCTGTGAAGGTGGTTTTGCTGCAAAGAGGAGACCCCATTTCTGCTTGAGCAGTGACTCGGGAAAGTTGGTTTGCAGGTACATTGTGTCTGATGCTTAGATTTCATCTGGCTGTCAGTGGACTAGCTGATCTGTTTCCGCATGTGAATGAAGAATATGAATGAAGAAGATTGATACAGAGGTTAAGGTGGTCATGGAATTGCCCCAAGGCATGGTAATACAGCAATGTTAAGATTGCTCTTACTCTAAGATGACTGTAAAAACCAGAAGTGAATGTTAGCAAGTCTGAGTACACAGACTTGTATAACTTGCTGTTATGCAAGAAGATAATTTGAGGAAACTGTTATCAGAAATGACAAAACTAAGTTGTGTTCTGTAGTTCACTTCAGAGCTGAGGAAAGAGGTGGACATTTGCAATGGATGAGGAGGGAAGAGCTCCTTGTTAGCGTATTGTAGAATGATGGAACGATGAATGTAACAGTTGCTGGAAAAGACAGACATCACTCCAGTGATATCTGCATTTTAGGATACATTTCAAATAGGGAAGTGCTGATGTCACTGGGCAGGTAACTAGTATGGCTTTGTGATTCTCTTCTCAGCAGTCCTACATGTTGAGTTAGGTGTATTTTTTGGGCTGCGTAAAGAAGGAACACCAGGTTCCAATACGTTGGAGAGGAGGAGACTAAAATTCTGATTGTTATAATCTATCGAAGCAAAGACTGAGTACTGAGTAGGTGTCGGTGCTTTTTGTATGGTTTGGTTTTGAACATGTCAGGGGAGAGGGAATGACATTGCAGGAGGGTAAAACTCGTGTTCCTGTGCTTCATTTAAGTATTAATAAATGTTTCTAAATGGGTCACTAATTTAATAAAAGCATGAGAAAAGAGAAATGTCTCTGAGTTTTGAAGAAATGCTCAGCTGGAACAGCATTCCCTACAACCTATTTTTTTCAGACTTCATTACTCTGACTACCTGAAATAATTTAAATTATGATGATTGCTCGATATGAGAGGTATTTTCCATTTCTTCCCGTGGTTCCTATAGTGCTGTCTTCATCTTTGCTTAATTATGAAAAAAGATGGAAGAATACTACAGCATTATTTACAAACATATTCTTCTGTTGGTGCTGCCTCAGATAAGTCTGAGAGACTGGTCACTGTTAGTGAAGTACATAATGGATAGTCTGTGACATCTTGTTAATTACAGGGTGTTCTCTCATCCAGTCAAAACCTAATACTTTCCTGCTTTTTATTCTCAGTGTGATCATGGAAAGCCAGAACTTCATTGCATGTAGCTCTAAAATGTATTGATGCAATAGTCTTGTGTGCATGGTATCAGTGGTTAAGTGAAGATTTGTTATAAACACAGGGTAGCTGAGAATGCCCAGAGTCTTCCCTGTGGAAACACTTGTTCTATAATGGTTGTCTTGGCTTCTTTCCGCAGTGGCCAGCGGCATGCCAGACTCCTGCACGCAACTTGCACTTCACGGTCTATGGGAAGAAAAATGCTTCTACGAAGGTTTCTGATTCGGTATGTTTGTACTTTTTATATCGTAACAGATTAAATAATACACTTAATGCTTAAGAGCATGTAGCGGCCAGGTACTTGGCTTCCAGTGGAGTGTTGTGTTCCAGTACGTAGTGACACTGAGGTGCTGAAATGCATGGCTTTTTTTAATGATAGTTTTTACCCAAGAGCATGTAACAGATACAGCAATTGCTGCAAGAGCCTATGAAGATCAGTAAACTTACATGGCTTGTGTTTCTATGAAAGTTGTTTGATCTAGCTCGAACTATTTGTGATTATAACAAACTGATTTATTTTTCCAGATTTCTACACAATACCCAGTAGTGGACCATGAGTTCGATGCAGTTGTTGTGGGTGCGGGAGGAGCAGGTCTGCGGGCTGCCTTTGGTTTATCAGAAGCTGGATTTAATACAGCCTGTGTTACCAAGCTGTTTCCCACCCGCTCTCATACAGTTGCTGCACAGGTGAGAAATGAGGTAGAACAAATGTTTAAAAAATGCCTGCTGTCAGAAAGTTGGTTTGGATATAGAATCATGGAACGGTTTGGGTAGGAAGGGACTTTAAAGGTTATCCAGTTCCAACACCCTTGCCATGGACAGGAGTGCCACGCACTAGATGAGGTTGCTCAGAGCCCC